TGTGCTTCAGAGACCTGCAGAATCTCATGAGTGCTGTGTAAGATTGTAAATTGTGTGTTTTATTTATTAAATTTGCTTGAGTATTACTAGTAATTTCTTTTTACTTTGCTGTGAAACTAATGAATCATGCTAGTAAAATGTATATCTGGTGTTGCAATGATATCCTTCTTTAATTATTGCTGTCTGTGTTCGTTTACATTCGTATATGTGTTAAACATTCAGTAATAGCTGATTTATGTCTTCAGATTGAAGCTTCACATTGATTGTATGTTGTAATATCAATAATACTATTTGTTTTTGCCAGATTGCTTCATTCCAAGATTGATGAGGTTTTATGCTAACATATATTTGTTGCATAGATATTATATCTGGCTGCAGGCAGCTTGCTATGTGTCTAGGTGCATCATATATGTATTATATCATGAATGTATTGTTTGTTCGTTTGCTTTACATTATCATATATATTTGTATATTAATGTTGCATTCTGTAATTGTTTCTGATGCATCCTGAGTAACTATGTGATTTGTTGCATTATTTCTTCAATAGCCAACATAATTATCTGTTGTAAATCGTTAGTAATGTACGTTTGTATTATTTGTTATTAACAGTGTTATTGTGAATTGTTGTGATTGTGATGTCATGAATATTTATTAGTATTATGGCTATTGTTCTTTGCTTTTTCTTTTGCAAAGTATAGTGTATTGTAACACAATCTGCATATAAGTAATATATTGGATTATGTTTACTATAATAGTCTCCTAGCATACTTTAGTTAATCTAGTAGTATGTGCAATTGTAGTATTCATTCAATGTTTTATTTGTTAATTGATTTGCTAGGTAAAGCATTTTATATATCAGTTTTATTTATTTTATTTGAATCATTGTATAGATATACTTATTAGTATCTATCCAATGTATTTCATAATGTTATAATGCTGTTCACACTTGTATTAATTGCACAGTGAGGGCAAATTAATTGTTCGTACAAGAATTGATTTAATAGTTTTATTTGATTATATGTATGTGCTCCATACTTGTTTGTACAGTTATTATCTTTGTATTGTTCGATTGTAGTTGCGAATTATATTGTAATTATATTTGTATTATTGTATGGATATATTATTTATTGTTTTATGTACATTCCAAAGTATTATTTTCGTTATTCATCACTTTTATCCATGAACTATAGTCTGGATTGATGAATTATTTTGTTATATGATGTGATAATTGTCTGTATTTTATTTATTTTCGTATTAAACTTTGTTAAGTTAATCAGATTATTATATTAATATTATTTGCCAAGTATGAGCATTCGTTTTGTAGTGGAATTATTATTTATTTAATGTTGAAGTTTAATTGCACATTGTGTTGACTTCCATTATTTGTTCCAATCAACGTTATTTTGTGTTGCATCAAATGATTTACCTTTGTGATCTGTTATATCTGTCTGTAACTTCTATTACTTATTGTATTTTAGGATCAGCAATAAGATTGACGTTTCTGCATCATGAATATTCATTTGTTCATCTGCAGTTTTGTGTTGTGAATGTTTGCACATTTGCTACAAAGAACGCTTTAGGAATATGTGCCATTTCTAGGCTTTATTATTATTAATTTATTAATTATCTGTTTGAATAACTTTTATAAGCATTGAAAATGTTATGTAATGTATAACTTTTATATTCTTTAATAAGGTATTTTGCATTCGACAGATTCGTTGGATTCATTATGGATTTCACTTAGTGATGTAGTCAATATGTCTGTATTAAGAATTTGATGTTCATTATTAGTGTGTATATTATTCAATTACTCCCCTTCAATTTGAGAAGGTTATTCTTTGAGTAATTGACAAGTAGTGTAAGTACATAAGTACATTGTTGATTTCCTTTCATGTATTTGTAATCCAACAAGTAGTGTTAATACTTTGTTGTTTTACTTTTGTACGTTTGTCAGTATGTGTTATAATATAACAGTATGTTTTAAGTTAACTTATGATGTTTGACATACATCATTTTGTTTAAACATTACACTGTAACATTGTGCTGTTTGTTTTATAAATTTTAATGTGATGTTTGTAATATGTCTGTAATATTTCAGACGTGCTAAGAAATCTCTCTGTGTGTTTGCAGTTACAACATCAGTTGCACATCTATTCATATCTCTAATAAGATGTAATAGATATGCTTGTGTCTGCTTTTCATTATATATTATACTGTCTGAGATAATGTGTTAAACGTTTTATTAATTTATTTAATCTTATTATATTATGATTGCTTTTGTTTGTAATCATTATAATAAGTGTGTCCATTGTAGTTTTTCTGTTGTTTGTTGTACTAGCCATATTGGCATAGTACTTCACTTGTATATAAGCTTTGTAGCTTTAATATAAGTTTATTTATACTTTGTTAAAGTATATCTACATTCTGTACAATTAAATATGTTCTGTTACATTGTTGTAGTAATGGTAGAGGTATTATTCTACTGTTTGCTGTTATTATACATTGTTATTATATATTTACACTATCATAGGTGTAAAGTATTGTTATTTGTTTAAAGACTATAATTGTGTACTTGTTCCTGTACCATAGTTACTGTAATGTACTTTGTAACTTTATTATTATTATTATTATTATTAATTTGTCCATAGATATTTGTACACTTTCATAAACTGTATTAGTGTGTAGATATCAGATGTCTTAGATATCAGATGGATATCTGCTAACTTGTTTTATCTCATATCCAACATGTCTGACATATCTGAGACATGTCTTACATTAATTGTTTGGCTGTGATATTGTTATATATGTTATTATTTGATTTATGTTATAACATATGCATGTTTGTTGACAGTGTCTATCATTTGTACTATTATAATATTAATAGCAGATGAGTAGTGTTTGCTTTCTCAATCCTTCTAACATTTGTCCATAGTATGATCAGTTATTTATAATAACATGATCTCCATAATATTATAGAATATTTTAGTGATTAAATGTTGCAGTAAGTGATACTCATTGTAGTTTCAGCATCACCTGCATAGATTATGTTATTACTGGGCCAATGATCATAATCACTAAGATGACAATCATATAATGTCTGGGTTGTATGTAGTACAGTAGATTGTGTGTTTGTAGTGTATTGATTTGCATTTGGGATACTCAGACAGGTGAGTTGAGTTCTGTGTTGTAGTATGCTGTGTGTGTGCATGTGATGCATAGAACTGTATGGAGCATAGACATAGTAGAGTGTAGATAAAGTGTAGGCAGGGAGTGCAAGGCTCATAACCTGTTAAGAGGGGGTTATGCAAGAGGCTTAGAGGGATCACACAAAGAGGGGGGATAGTGGACTCAGCTCACTCTACTTAGCATCATTGTCCATTGATTCAGTAGGTATATATAATATGTAGCTATGTCTCAGGTACGTCTGTTGCTTATATGTGTCATTCCATATATGTTAACAGTAAGGAAGGCATTCCTGGTAGTGGTGGCAACAGTACATAATTCATTTGAGGGGCATTTTGCAAATGATACAAATCTTGATGTTGTCAATACTACATCTGTTGGCAACACTGTTGCTGCTCATGTTGTACCATGTCATTGTACAGCCAAGAGTTATACTGTAGTGGATGACTAGGAGGAGGACAGATTTGTTGTTACTACTGTTAATGCTGCTACCATTGTTCCTGAACTGTAGCCTTGTAGAGTCAAGGGTTGAACTCTAACAGATGGCCAGGAGGGGGGCAGGGGCAGGGCTGTTAGTGATGTTGCCCTTCTAGAGCTGGCAGTGGCAGAAGCAACCCCTCTATTACCCAAGGGACATACTGTAAAGGGTTTTGCTACTACTGTTGTTGTTGTTGTTACTACTGTTACTGTTACTGTTACTGTTGCAGAAGCAGTTGAGACTGTGTCAAACCTGGCACAACTTCACAGTACTCAACATTAGGATTGAATTGCTAGCAAGCACAAAGTGAAAGGACACAAGTAAGAAAGGAATGTAGTGTCTAATGGTAGCAAGAAGAAATACAGCCTTGGCCTATAGGCAGATAGACTGTAATCAAGCACAGGCAATTGCTAATTGGGCTGCCTTTGTGTGTAAGAGGTGAATGTATACTTACCACATTCCTCTGTAGGCTGCCAGACATTTTGAGGTAAGGGGGAAGATGATACATTGGTGTGGGACACAGTAAAGTCCATTTTGGGAAAGTCATACATGTCAAAGTTTATTTCTGCAACAAACATTTAAAATTCACTATAAAATCAGACTTGCATCATTTATTTCAATAATTTGAACAGTATGGATCTCAAAGACACTGTTATCAATCCTGGATAAAAAATCGGAATATTAGTTATTTCAAGTATAATGCAACTATTTTTAGTACTTACATGAGAATAATTATTTTTCGGGCCATCTAAGGCAGCTCAAGCAAACAATGTAGTATAGGTGGATTATACTCGATTAACAGCTGCTGAATACCATGCTTGTGTGCCAGGACCATCACCTATCATCCTCCTACACATCGAAGAATGCCTGTCCGAAAAAGGAAATGATCCAATACTACAAAGGAAAATCCGATTGTTGCCTCATGTACCTGAGCAAACATCTCATACTGTCGGATGTCCTGGTCAGACACAGAGCGATGAGCAAACTCTATCGCTTCCTCAAAGTGTTTGCACGTGGTTTCGGGCACAGGATCTGCCTCTTTGACGTCTTCTATATCTCCATTGCCTGACTCTTTCTTTTCTCAAGCTCGACGGATATCTTCTTCAATCGATTGGCGAATCGCGAGTTTTGCTGCACGTTGGCAAATTTCCATCAAATCTGCTCCAGAGAAGCCATGCGTACTCTTTGCAAGACACGTAAGGTCAACATTCTTCGCCACAGGCGACTTCCTCAGGGCTGCACGAAGGATATCAAGACGTCCAGGTTCGTCGGGCAGAGGAATGTAAATGAGTTGGTCCAGACGACCAGGACGGAGTAAAGCTGGGTCAATTTGGTCTGGCCGATTGGTTGCACCAATGACGAACACATTCTTCTTTGCGTTCATACTGTCCATCTCCGTCAGCAACTAGTTCAAAACGCGATCTCCTGCGCCACCCGCATCTCCTCCTGTGCTTGCACCTCATGCTTTTACAATAGAATCTAACTCATCAAAGAACATCACGCACGGTGTAGCTGCACACGCCTTGTCAAAGACATCCTGCACGTTGGCTTCCGATTCACCAAACCACATGGTAAGCAACTCGGGGCCCTGGAACAGAACATCACTTAAAAAAAGACAAATGTATGTGTTGGAAAACTAACCTTAATCGAAATGAAGTTTGCCTGACATTCGTTCGCAATAGCCTTGGCAAGCAGTGTTTTACCAGTACCTGGAGGACCGTAGAACAACACACCCTTTGAAGGCGACATACCGTACTTGATAAATTTGTCGGGGTGTTCGACCGGATATTGAACTGTCTCTTGCAACTCCTGCTTAACTTTGCCGAGACCACCGATATCGTCCCACTTGACGGTCTGTACTTCGACGACCATCTCGCGAAGTGCTGATGGGTTGGACGAACCCAACGCGAAAGGGAAATTTTCCATCGTTACACCAAGAGCGTCCAAGACCTCGGCGTCGATGGTGTCTTCATCGAGGTCGATGAGATCCATCTTCCCGCGGATCTGTTGCATAGCAGCCTCTGAACAAAGAGCCGCGATATCAGAGCCGACATAACCATGCGTTTCAGCAGCAATCTTTAGGCATTGGTGATGGATTCTCTGTCCTGCACAACAGCATGCTGCAAATTTTCCAGTATAGCTCCCACTCCCAAGCTATTTTGCTTTGCAGACAACCTGGAGCACTTGCCAAACAAGGATTTGTGTAGCAGTGATTGATTTCTGAGACTTCAAGTGATACGACTCACCAGCCAGACTGGGAGCATTCCCCCTCCTTCCCTGCTCTGAGCTTAGCAGCTTGCCTCTGCTTGTCCTTGGCTTCTATTCGAAGTGAGTTGACATATCACTGTAGATGGTTTGTCCACATACAGTATGTCTCTTCTTTGACAGCCCAGTATTTCTTACATCTGATTTCCTGGCTTGTTAGGGATTTGTAAGAGACTACACAATTATTGCCATTCCCTATCTTCTTGTAAAAGTTGTACCAAATGAACTGTTCGTCCTTTTAAGAGACATAATACTTGACAGACTGAGCTTCAGAGTCCTTGGCATGCAGGAGGTCTACCTCCATCTCCACATTGTCTAGGGAGTGATTAGCTTTCGTCTGACTGATCTTGTTGTCAAGCCTTCCTTTCATTTTTGCTTCCTTGACTGCTACCTCTACAGCCTTCACACACTTGTACACCTCTGTGCCTACAAGTACTGAAAGAAGAGCTTGTTAGTAGGAGGAGTATCAGCATGTCAGACTTATGACATACCCTCAGATGCAAGCATCAACACTGTGTCTAATGCTGGCTGGAAACAATGATTCACTGTCCTTATCAACTAAGACTGTTGATTAGTCACAGATAGAAAAATGTAGACTTGAATACATAGATAGTATGGATTAGATTTTCTAGTACTACTGAGCTCAGGAGACAAAGGGTAGATTTGGTTATTACATTTACAAGGTGAAGGCAAGCAACATCATGTGTTTATGTTGGTGATCCAGCTAGTTTTACAATTGCCTTATGTGAGTCTATGACCCCTTTGTCACTGTTTAAGAGTATAGTAAATGCTTACAAGTACTGTAATAAAGTAAACAATTACTACATGACTACACTATGTCAAAATAGAGGACTTCTAGCCACTGCCTTCAACACTGCTGTTGCTTTGAGTGTAGGATGTATAGGAGTAGGCAGCATGAAGAAGAGCTTCACTGTATGCCTTTTCCACAGAATTCTTGTCAAATTCTAACACAAACGTGCTAGGCAAGTGAAGTGTTTGGCATACTTCTTTAACACATTCCTCTAAATCCTTGTTTATTCTGCCTGTGTTAAAGAGGAATGGTGTCTATTGTAAATGGCAGAAGTAAGCTGTCAATATATCAAAATAATATTATTTATCACATACCAGACTGTAATGGCCAACATTACACCAGGTATCAGGTTTATCTAGGCTCAGAACTTGCTAGTGTATGTGGAAAGCAACACCTATGTAGCTAATGTATGTACCTGATGTTGGACCAGATCCAGAGAACATGAAATCCTTGTGATCAACCATTTGTAAGCTGCTGAATTCTGGTACACTCAACTGTTTTGTGTGTTGTGCCTTGGTCTGTTTGTGTACTATACCAGGAATTGGCTTTTCAACCACCACCAAGGACAGGAACAGCTGGGCTGTGTTGTAATCTTGAAACTACTGATCAGCATGCTCCTCAGAGTCTTTGTAGTTGTATGTATTATCTCTGGTGACAACATAGGTGATTTCAAACACAATTGCAGGCTGAAAGTTGACTGATATGACAGTACCAAAGCTGTTATCATAGTTACTAGAGCCTTTTCTGAACAAATTTAGAGATGTCTCCAACTAATATAGCTGTTAGAATAACAAGCACAGTGTAGGCTAGAAACACATACACTAATGGTTCTTGTTCCAGCTGTAATGTGACTAAATCAATAGTTATTGTCCAATTAATAGAGAGCTGAGAGACAATGATAGACAACAAACGACTGGTACTCTGTACTCAGGGACTTCAACCTATCACAGTCCATGTCAACCTCATCCTTCAGAAGGCTTTCAACAGTTAAGGCTTGGCAGATATAAACCATCTGGCTGGTCCTATCAATCCTTGTAATCACCTAATATGCTATGGAAAATTTGTTTACACTGGATCAAAGAGACAATGAACCTTCTTAGAATTGATAACATTCTTTAATTCAACTCACAATTTATCATATAGGGCATAGGGCATTTTGAAGTACTAGATCCAGTAGTTAGTATTAGTAGGATTGAGTAGGCTTAAAACACTCACAGTAATGCTACAATCATTGAAATCATCCAGCATTTTCTGAAGTTGACTAGAGACAACTAGTAGAAAGCAATGTTAGGTCTGTTAAGGGAACAGGATGAAGATAATCTACACATACTGGACAAGGCACTATGAGCCTTTTCACCTGTTTCAGAATGAGAAGACCCTATCAGGAATGTGGCTACAGTTTGAGACAAGGATGTCCACTTGTTGGTAGCAGTAGAGGAGTCACTTCCATTGTTAGAAGGACTGTGTGGTACTGTTGATAAATCAGAGGGAGTTGCATTCTCAATCAATGTATTTATGGTAGAAGAATAAACAGTACAATACTACAGAACAGACAAGAATGAGGTGTTTGTAGGGGAAGCTTGACAAAAAGGGGTGCCACATCTATACTGTTATATGAGTGTATGTATGCAAACCTTCCAGAAATACTCCTTCCTTTCTTAGCTGTATTGTCACTGTAGAAGGATTATGTCAAGATGTGTTATGTGAAATTATGTGAGGGTTACATATAATCTAATATGTATTGATTTAGGTTTGTAGCTTGATGTCAATCACTTTTATGTGCCTTGTTTGTGCTGAGGTAGTTGCCTGTATAGTCACTTAAAGCTGTATAAAAACTGTTTCCAGCTATACACAGGTTTCACACACATGTACTGATTTTACAATAGTACAACCATAGTACAGTAGTGTCAGATGACCCCAGAAGAAAACCCTTGCCCAGATCCATCAATGTTCCTACACTTCCATTACAAATCTCCTTTCTCTATCATAGAGTCTAGAAACACACACATATGTGCCCCTGTCTTTTGTCAGTACTAGAGCACTAGCTAAAATAAATATATCTCATTATGACCTATTAAATGACTGAGACACTTAGGAAACCTGAGTACTCTGAAGAAGATTACTATCTTGGTCACTAATACTCCTGGTTCCTTGGTTTCACAATACTACAACACTATACTAATAAAAGTAAGCACTTTGCCTACTTATAGGCTGTAGTGTGACTAATACTGCTCTCACTTTCCAAGTTCACAGAAGTATTAGGTAACATCTACTATGTAGTATAGACTTGTAGAGTAGTACTTTTGCTATAACAGACAGGCTGCTTCTTAATCAATGTATCTTAGAGTGCCTATAATGTCCCAAGAGTTATTGGCTTTCCTTTACTGCTTAAACTTAAAGGTCTATCTGGTAGGACACTGTCCATCCTTATTTCATTTCCAAATATCACAATCCTTCTATCAGCAATCTAGAGGATTCTTGCCTGTTGTGTATTGAATATTATGCAAATATACAGAAGTCTGGCACAATACTTGCTTCCCTCCTGTAAAGCATCTCTGCTATGATATATAAATGTCCTTTGACCAATGTATTTCAAAAGAAATTTATCCTTTGCTTGCATACACAACCAAGCCCCCCTTACTGTGCCTAGACAAACAATACAATGCCTCTCCCATTACATGAGAGAATTAGGGACATTATTGCTGACACATTCTGTAACACTCTCAACTCTATTGTCCCTGAAGGATACAGTGCATCTAACATTATTGCTGACAGGAAAATGTACTGAGTTAGTCTTGAATGTCTCCTTTTTGTTTATTACTATGTACTGTAGCTTATACATTTGTTAGCTGGACTATAATGTGTTGTTTGTTGTTCCCTACCAGCTAGTCTACAACCCTAGACTAGACAAGTACAAATACAATTGGATTCCAGACTTAGTACTATCTGTCAACAGTCATCCAAGATTCATTATCAAGATTGCAACCACACAAAGTAAGGCTTCCTTGGACAATTGGAGCCTTGATTGGTTTTGACTGCACACCCTTGACACATTGATATCCATTAATGTTACAGAGTCTGTCATGTTTCTGTTCCACAATTTCCCTGTCACCAATGCTGTACTCCCTGAACTGACAATCAGAGAGTTTGTAGAAACTCAAGTACATATAATAGGTATGACAGTATAGGATGTTGAAGGGTACTTCCATGCTTTCGTTTCACCTATAAGCCTCAAGATGAATATATTTTGGTGTGAGTGTGATAATAATGGAAGAATTCAAATAAGAAGTACTGGCCCAGTATGTCTTATTTAAATTGCTTGTAAACACTGTGCTAACAGACACTTAGATAAGTACTAATTAACACAGACTTGAAATGCTGAATGTAGTCCTTGCTTTCTGTTGTCATGAACTACAGTAGAGGCTGCAGCTTCACAATAATTTCAATCTTCAGATTAATGTTGCAGGTTGGTATACAGGTTTCCACCTTCTGACTAATGAAGTTGCATACATTTGGTACATTGAATGGAAAAAAAAACGTCTGCCAGCTGATGAACCATACACTGAAAATGTTCTGTTATAATAGACTAAATTGGGCAAGCTGTTTCCATTCGTGCTTTGTGTATAAATTCTGCATTCCTATAGACAGTATCTTATAGACTAATACATGTATGCTTACTCAAACAGACTGTATTCCAATTGTAATTTGTTGAATGTCTTTAATTACATTATGATTTGAACACTTAGAAAAAAAATGCCAATAAGGTGCCACAGCTTTGAGACCCCTTTCAATGATAGGCATCACCTGAAATAAACTCTGCCTTATACAAAACAGCTCACTAATGCACCCAGCACTTGAGACAATTGTTTACTTAGTACACTACCAGCTACTGTGATATGTATCAAGGAGATGGATACACTACAACAGTATACAGCAAGCATGAGTAGTGTATCAGGGTTGAGATCTGTAGCATTAAACAAGCTGATTAGGGCAGTAGGTGAAGCTGTGTTTGTATGTGCATGTTACATACTCTGACTATAACAAACAATCAGAGGCACAGTAAACTGAGTAGTTGTTATGGATTGTAAAAGTGTTTTTCTGGGATGTTCTGGCTTGAAGGGAGAAGGCAAAATGGAGGTGTGGACAGACTTGGCTCAGGTAGTGTGAATGGTTGGCCACTACATCCTGTCAATATAGTGTCATCCATAGTAGTGAGGAATGTAAACACATGTGAGTGTGAACCTGTCAAGAGTAATGTCAAGCATGGAATGGGTGAGGAGGGAGAGGGTGTACAGGGTAAGAGAGAGGGTGTCACTTTGGAAGTGGTTGTACATGGACATTGTTGCAAGCATGTGCTCATCAATTGTTGCTTGCACTACAGAGTAGGAAGAATGTATGGAATTATTGAAGAAGTTGTTCAGTATTAGTCAACAATGTAGATGTGTGAATGTGAATGTAAAAAAGGAAGGCAAACATAAAAAAAGAAGGACAATGAAGGAGAGGCAATGTAAGCAGTAGAGCAAGGAGTAGGAGGGATGGAAGGAAGACAAAAAGTTAGGAGGAGAGGGATGAGCAACTATCATGTAGGATAATATGAAGTAGACCAAAGTTGCTTATACTTTATGTTGAGACTGGGAGGGGATAGTGTAGTCAGCTGTACAGGGTCTGGGACTCAGTACAGGCATTACAATAGCAGATTGGAGAGACAAGTGTAGCAATGTTTATTGTCTACATTGCTGAAGGCAGAGTGACAGCTAGTAGGATGCTTGCAAGTGGAGGAAGACTGGAGAGAACAAAGTAACAACATGGTGGCAGGGCAGAGGGTTAGACTTAGAGAGATGGTGGACACTGAAGAGAAAGAGTAGCATGTATAAGTGCATCATTATATGCTCTCGATCTTCAGCAGTTGATTACATAAGCGAGTTAAGTATCAGTCACCAAATGATAGAACATTTCAAATATTGTATTTAGGTATAACTAACATTGCTAATCTACTTTGTAATATAGTGAAAAGTAATATAAATACATTTAGTTTTCTAAACACACTAATGTAATTATTACAAGTAGATGAAATATCTTCTACAAATATTGTAAACTGTTTGTATAAATAATCTAAGTATAATATACATTTTATATACTTATACTATACTTTTATTAAGATAATAATGACACAACAAGTGTTCTTACACTATTATATGTATTAGTATACCTTTTGCATAAATTATAAGTCAACAAATAATTACTATTCCATTATTATATTATGAATATAACCTTTTCTTTAAAATTATAATTTAAATATAACACAAGCAAAATACTGTCAGTTATTATACAAAGTTAGTATAATACATTTAATAGATTCATAACACTTATGTAGTCTTTATATTCATTAATATGTTTTATTTAAATATTACAAATTATTTACAAGTCTTGTGAATACTTTACAATGTATATATACTACTTATATTACTTTATAAACTCTATAATACATTATAAGAAATGTGACTTTTCCCTGATGCTGCTATTCACATTCAGAAGGTATTGGTGCACTATATGCCTAGAACAGAGCTTGTCAACCAGCTCATAAACCTTCTTGTTCATGGTGAGAGTGTTGAATTGCAAGAGGTAGCAAATGTCCACAATGCTACTGCCCAGGCCTTTGATAATCTACAAGAACAACTTGGCACACAAGTCATTAACCAGACAATCCTGACACTTCTTCAGGCTCTTTGCTAGCCTGGACATAACTCTGGGACTGCACTCCAAGCTCTTAAGGAGATTATGAATGTGTGTATATACTGCTACCAAAGACCAGTGCTCTAACAATCATTTCAGGTCTGAGCCAATACTGTCTTACCTATCTGCATTCCTACCTTAGTTGCATCTTGTATGACTGTATTCAATGTACAAGCTTTGGCATCTTGTTACCTACTCACACTAACAATGCTAATACCTATGCCTACACTCTCAGCCTGTCAATCTCACAACCTGTCTCACAAGTATAAGTACCACATTCACAACCTGCCCAACCTTACAACCTGTATGCACACACAATTCAACTTGTAGGGACTGAGCAACAACCAAAGCATTTTGACAAAGACTACATCAAACAACCCAAGAACACATTCATCATCTTCTACTGTGTCTACTGTATCTGCTGTATGTGAGAGAACAAGGTAAGGAACAATGTACTAACTGTAGCATACATATTTGTAATTTGTATTATATATTTCAATATAATTATAATTCAATATTTAAACAAGAAGAAATGTAGGCAGAATAACAATTATCTAAGTTATTATAATGCCTTGTAAGTCTTGTAAGCAGTCACAATGTTTGTTAAATGTAACAAGTATGAAATGACTTTTCATTTTAGGAGGTTGGATATAATGTACTTTATATGTTAACAAGCATGTACAAACCTTAATCATTTTGACAATATGTACATACCTTTTTGTGTTTTATATAGCTTTTTATAATTTTCTCATTTTGAGAGGTTGGATATATGGTCTTTTATATTTTTTAGAAATTTTATATAATTTATATGTTTATAAGGTAATATCAGCCTTAAGACTTTTTCCTGATGAGGCTGTCTGACTGTACTGACAGCATCATGGCAAACAATATACAAAGCTGTAAGAATGCAATCTTGACTTTCTTTACTAAGCACATCCCTAAGTGCCTTGTAAGATGTATCTGCTGTATTCATTTCAACTCTTCTTCTTCTCCAATTTCTGCCTTGCTACTGATACTAGCAACTTTGAACAGCAGTTCACTAACTAAAGTAATTGAGTAGTGCTAGAAAGAGAATGAATGATGAGTGTATAGGCTACTGGTTGGATTGTAAACAAGACATGCTCTAATATGCTAGCTTGAGTCAATCAAGCTCAGGCCAGAAACTGTTCTTTGATGAGCCACTCAATGCAAATTGGGTAATACTATATTGTAGAGACCTGATGTTGTAATGTGTATCATTTAAATTCCATTATGCAAGTATCACTCTGCTAGGGGTGGCAAGAAGTGTACAAGTAAGCAAGATTGTTTATTTATATTACCTGAAACACTGTGTTCTATTACAAGTTTACAAGAAAACATTTATTTGTTCCTCTTGTAAGTGTCTAATTTCCTGTCAACAGTAACATTACACTCCCTGGGAGATGACATTTGCTAACATTCTTACTACTACTGACTAGAGCAGACTCTATAATTTATAAAGTATTGAGTACTGGGTGTATTTCTGCAATGTTTAATCAATTCCTTAGGCTTGCTGCTCTAGGACACAACAAAGGAAAAGGAACTCTTGTTCCCTTTCAGAAATGCACTCCAAATATCAATTGAACCAATAACAATTGGATTTGCCTCTGTAACATAATGCTTGTCTGTGAAGAATGTTTTCCAGTCCTAAATAATGATAACTGCTGGTGGCCAATTGACAGTTGTTAGTGTGTTGTAATCAGGAGGAGTAAGTGGCTGATTAATAGTACCTAGATTGAGAAAGGGAAACATGTTCACTCTATCAGGTCAGCAATCTCTCATCCCTTTAATACTTGTGAGAAAACTTTGGGCAGGACTGTGTCAGACAAATAGTATGTATAAAAGGTTGAGAACAGTTGCTATACAGGCTACACCCCTCATATCTTTTCCTCAAACACACAATGAGTAAGGCACTGTGCTACAGTAGTGAGCTACTTGTGTATGTATAGCAACTTACATTGTAAAACAATCTCACTCTACCAGAACTGTCAAGTTCCTCTGTTGATACTATGAATGAAGTTCTTCCTACTGTGTCTACTCAGGAGCCACCTGTTAAACCTGTGCTAGAGAGGTACTAAAGTGCTAGGGTTCTGTTACAAATCCTACATTCCTACAGTACTGTATGCTCAGGAATATCAAGCCAGTCTGTATCTGCATCCTACAACACCCACCTGTATACAGGTTCACCTCAGTCACTCTTACTTCCAACTAGTACACTGCCCCCCTCCCTACAACTAGGACAACTTGTGCTAGAACCACCTCCTGATTTATTACACATTAGACATAACCTTAATATAAGAACAGTAAACAAGGCTAGGCAATTGTCTGCTGGACAAACAATTCCAAGAGTAGCTCCTCAACTAAGGCATGGTACAAGAAGGGGGTCTCTAGTTAGGCTGATACTAACAATTAGGAACATTCTACTCATACACTCTCCTAAAATGACAGATTGTTTAGAAATTACAGATGATGGAAGAACATCTACTTGCCTTACAGTTAAGGTTTACCCCTGTTGTATAAGACATTTCCCCCATTCTTCATTGAAACAGAGTACACTGAAGCTGACTTGCACTACAGAATACAGGCACACAATTCTGTCTTCTATACAATTTCCTTTAGAATACATTCAATGTAAAACTGTGAAACTATGGACTTCTGTTCAAAATGACTGTCCCTCAAAACATGCTTGTTTCTCAAGTCATTCAAGACATAGCTTTAGAGATGGAAAGGGAGCACAAATATGTCTTTTCTTAGCCACTAAGTATGTATGAACCACATAAGACATTACCTCTAAAGCTGTTAAAAATACATGATTGTACTCTTACACAGGTTACCTCTGTAGTGCCCTTACACCTTAAGTGCAGCCTAGTTGATCTGAGTTGGACTGTTTTGGATCTATTAGGCATGTATAACAGGTTTGTAATACCTGACATTGTGTTAGAAAATAATTGCTTTGTTGTGTTCACTAGTGTGTCAGGATGTTACCTACTTAGTTGTAAATACTGAATATTCTTCAATTCCAGTTGTTGCTGCCAAGCCTCTTAAAGTTAAGCAGGACAGTACTCTACATGATTGTGTTGCAGAATGTTTTTTTAAAGGTCTTGAGGAAGATCAGCCATCTGTAGCCACAGTTATAGAAGTTGAATGCTTCTGTACTACTCATACTAGTACTAAGAATGGTCACACTGAGACTTTGCCTGATGTAACAGACAATCATCTTCCTGTAAGTTAGTAGCAAGCTTGTATTATTATCCAACCCTAATGTATCATTCTTAGAATGTTGAGATTCTAACAGTCCTAGCAAGCCCTATTCAACCTTCTCAGACTCTTTGTTGTACCCTGCCACCTCATTCAGTAAGGTAGGTTTGCTTCCAGAGACCCTTGTTACTCTGTCAGGAGAATCCACCCAACTATGTTTCCTTTGCATCACCTTCAAATGTACTTCCTCCTATATTGTGGGAGCATCTGTAGACTCTACTACACAATGAGGATAGCTTCAGTTTTGAAATGGAAGATTTCTCAGCTCAAGTGTATAAAGCTGTTGGATTCCTAACTGGTAATACTGAGGAATTGTTACTGTGTAGCACAAGTGTACAAGATCTGGCAGACAAGCTAATTGAGACTATAGAGGAGTGTGTTACATTGTGTAACTATAGCAAACTTTTGGCACCTCTGAGAACAGTCCAAGTGTGAGTCACCTAAACTGATTGATTAAACTAAACTAATCTACATATACAGAGTTTGCTAGGACAGATCTATTGTGACACTTGGGCCTGGCCTAGAGGTCAAGGCCTTGTTTTTAGTAATGTCAAAGTATGTTGCTCAGGAAGCACTTTGGTTCAAGAGACTTGCTACAGATTATTGCTCTCTGAAGACAATTACTACTGAGAGTACTGTAGCACATGTACCTACTGAAAGGCTTAAAAAGCTAAAGGTACTAGGAGCCTTAACATTATTGATGGTCTTGAACAAGCTTAGACTAGGCCCCTTGAGTCTGTGTGTGCTACAGATAACATACAACAATTGTGACTTTCAATCTCTACACAAGGAATTCATCAGAACTTGGTATCCTGAAATCCACAATGACCTACAAAGATAGAAAGACATGGGTCCATCAGGCAACCCCAGTCCATTCCAGAAGTATTTCAGTTCATACATGCAATCACAGGTAAGTTGTATACATTCTCTTATGCTAAATTCTAATTCCTCTTTCAGGCTGCAAGCTATGAGAATTGTACAATTGAATCTCACAATTTTATTGTATACAACATACTATTGTAAGCTATCCTTAGCCCACAAGACCTCAGACATTCTGAATGGGACACACTCCTTGAGGGCTTGAACATGCCTTGTTTGCCACTCAAGGGCTTGGATGTGCCTTCTTCCCCACAATTTAGTTTTGGAAAGGTATGTGCCTTATTATTTATATAACAATTGTCTAAAGGCTTGACTTGACAGGCTGTGTGTGGAGTGGAAGGAGGCTCAGACACTTTGATTACAGTATACTATGTATCACACATTACTGATGTTAACAACCTTCAAGGCTTGCTTTCTGTTACTGTCTATACACATACTCAGAGGGACAATTGTGCAACACTAGCAAGAGAGCTTGGTACAGTGTCTGTATCAGAACTTGTACACAACATTGTTTTTGACTTTCTTAAAGGAACCAGTATCCCTCATCCAGACTTGTTTCAGAGTGTTGTATAGAGCTTCTCAAGAACACTTCCTCTAGACAATATTGATTTTGATACAAAGACTACTAGATGCAACCTATTAGTTTGTACAATAACAGGTGTACCTTACATACCACCAGAAAGAGGGGAAATGACAGTTTGTTCTTGTACACTTACACATCTCACACATACACTAATAACTACACTTTATAGTATCAGATAAAATTTGTAGATAATGAGGATCACAAATACGTATCTGTCCAAAACAGTAGGAGTGCCACATCAACAGAACACCCATTAGTAGCATCAGTACTTGCTACACAGGGACAGATTTGATTTGTAACATGTGGCAGGATAGCTGTTGCCCCTTTATCATATCTGATAGAGCTGATAAGAAGGGAGGGTACAGACAATTATGAAGCTGTAGTGTATCACTGGCTACTTGTTGAATTGTGCAGTGCTATAAGTGAGCACTCTGTTCTCTGAGACAGAGAGCAATATGAGCTTGTAGTTGTTCAGTCTCATATAGAAACTGTTACCTGTTTTGTCTTATTATTCAACTGCTGAATGTTTCAGTTTGTTTATACTCTCTTACTATCTTGTTCTTCCCACTTATATTTGTTGTCTATATCTCCATTTCTCACATAGAAACTGTCAACTTTTCTATGTTATTCATTCTGAATATTGTCTCTGCATTCAACTACACTAGATATATTTTTTCTTTTCATACTTTCATTTTATCTTATTCCTTTTAATTTCTATAGTTTTTGTCTACACTTCAATTTTTCACACAAGGCACTCAACTGCTTTGTATCATTCATTCAGTCTAAGAATGTTGTCTTATCATTCAACTGGTAAACATTTTGTCTTTCTACACTTTTCATTTTATCTTGTTCCTTTCACTTTCTATAGTTTTTGTCTACACTTTAATTTTTCACACAAAGTACTCAACTACTTTATATTATTCATTCAGTCTAAGAATGTTGTCTTATCATTCAACTGGTAGACATTTTGCTTTGTTTATTTAACTTTCTTAATCTTTCTGATTTTTATAGTTTTTGTCAATACTTTTATTTCTTACACAACATAAAGACACTCAACTGTCTTATATTATTTATTCATTCTGAGAATGTAGTCTTAGTATCAAC